CGGAGGGAGCGCTCTTGGGCCCGGGCTGGGGCCGGGGCGGGGCGCGTGGGCGATGGAGCTCGCGGGGCAGGCCTCGTTTATGGTCCATCGGTGCCCCTAGCCAGGCTCCGGGTGGACAGCCGGCGGATACCGAGCTTCCGGGGAAGGAAAGCAGATCGGTGAGGCGCACGGCCGGGCCAGGCTCCTGCGAGGACCGCCGCGTGGTAGGTGTCGCCGTCCCCGGCCCACGTGCCCACGGTGAGGGAGGCGAAGCGATGCGTTGGGCCGTGGATCTGCAGGAAGGGGGGTTCGGGGCCCAGCGGAGGAAAACAAGACAGTGTTTTCAGCAGGATGATTTTGTCTTAATAAAAGGACTTCAATTTGTTCCCCCACCATGTGCTTCCAACTTCTTCGAGGAGTGGTGTTAAAATCCCCCGTTACGATGCCCGTGTCACATTAGAAAGCGGCAACACGATTTGGTCCCCCAAACGCCGGGGGGGGGGCGTCTTAGGCCTTGCGCCCTCAAAGGCAGGAGATGTCTGTGCCCTAGGCCTTCCTGGACACTAAGACACAGACGTGGTGTTCCCTGCAGTGGAGGGAGGGGGAACAGTGGCCTTTCCCAAAGCCCAGGTCTCAGAGATGCTGACAGAACGCCAACCTCCACGCCCTGATAGCCTCCAGCTGTGCCTTCGACCCTGTCACAGGGCAATGTCACATCCTTGGCTCACTGCACGTCAGCAGAGCTGGTCAGGGTGAGAACACAGGCACAGTTACCTCAGAGCACAGCTGAGTGTCAAACACTTCCTACTTTTTGGTTAACCTTTATTTTAGTTCTCATGATTCTGGGACATGCGCAAAGAAGCGAAAAAACTACCACAGAGCCACAAGTCTCCCTAGCTTTTTTTTCGGGGTGGGAGTGGAGGGCAGGCTGTCCTGCACCAAATCTTTGAAATTCCGCAGGCTCTGAATTGCGTTGGGGTTGACCACAGTCCTGCAGGCTGGAAGAAACGCTTCTGAACCCTTGTTTTGCCCTCTGGGGCAGCCTTTCTTAAGGTGTAGAGCTGGACAAGATGACCTATTTTGGAGTGAAAAACTAGAAAACCAAAGTCTTAGCTCGTGGATTCAGGGAGGAGGGGAAATTATAAGATTACCATTTTATAGTAAAGGGAGAAATCTTTTTTTTGAATTGCAATCACTCCATCGCCCAGTATGGAGTGCAGTGGCATGCTCACAGCCACCCCAGCATCGACCTGCTGGGTGGCGTTCCTTCCGCCTCAGCCTTCCAAGTATCCAGAACTATAGTCGCGCGCTACCATGCCCAGCTAATTTTTGATTTATCATAGAAACGAGGTCTCGCCAAGTTGCCTGGGCTGGTCTTGAACCCGTGGGTTCAGGCAGTCCACTC